TCAGTCATTTCATTCTATGCTTGCTTGCCAATTTCAATTCGGGTATTCCAGAAGGTCTAGAAGTCATGGTAACAAGTGGGGTATTTCTTAAGAACCAGGGGGATTTGGTGGAAGGACAGAATTGAACAACATTGGCAATACGAGTTAAGGAGGAGGACGATGAGTAGAATCTTCAGTTTTCAAGCGCTGTACCAGTATATGCATTTTGTTCCCCTTTCGGTTTCAAGAAAGCCCTTTATTTGTCCGTGTCGGGAGGCTGCTCGTTGCTGCAGCGCAGGGGGCGCCGTAAGGGGTGGAAAGGTTTTTAGAACCGATCTAACCGGCGGGCGCCCCCGTGATGGACAGGGCGCCAAAAAACTATTTAGGAAGTCAATATTGAAAGAAACAATGTTTTAAGTAACCAATGTGGATTATCTTTTCATTGGGCCCAAAATCCCTGGCCGCAAGCACATTCGTTTTTCACCGTCTGTTCTGAATCCAGAGCCCAGGTCTGCTTTTGATTGGTTAGCTTGGGTCGGCTCTGTTGTGATGTCAGCGCTTAGGATGTTCCCCGCCCCTTAGCCTATCCACTTACCAATGGTGTTTTTGTGCTAGCTAACAGAATCCGCAGGTGTGTACCATTAAGTGAATGTTTCACTATGTTACGCAAGTAAACCAAAGAGTCCATGGGCGTTTACAGGGCAGGGGGAGAGTGTGGGAGAGAACTTCCCCCTTCCCCAAAGAATAGAATGGCCTTGAGAGGTTAGGAGGCAGCCCAGAGGCTGAATTAAATAATGCTTAAAAGGTTCAACCTATTATGCAAGAAAATTCTCACTTGTTCATGTCTGTCTAGTACATCAAACATATGTGGTTCCCTCTGTGTAAGAGAGGACGTCCTTAAAAGGTTTCAGAAGAAAGATTCTCTCTCTTTTTTGAGTCCTTGGACCTCGGTTTAGGTATAAAAACCTACTGCTACAATGAGAGCGCTGTTCAGATTTCTTGGCACTTTATAGATGGTCTAGGACGAGTTTTGTGCTCTGTGGTCGAATGAGCATTGAGACCGATACCCAGGGTTGAAAGGGCGCGGCGGCCGCCCCCCCCCCACTTATCACTGGAATGTCCTCCTAGAGCACCATTGTGTTCTTTTTAACCAAATACCTCTCAGAGGGGCGTGGGGAGGGGCTCCTTATTTTCATCTAAAGTAACAGACAGAGAATCAGCACTTTTGAAACAGGGCTGAAACAGAGGGGATTGTGGGTAATGCTGCAATGACTTGTTTGGTATTTGGAGCCAAACACTTCAGAGACATGTTTTGTATATATCTGAGACCTATCATATATTGATGAAAAACAGTATAATAGGGGACCTTTAAGAAAGCCAACAAAAGCCATGACATTATTTGTATTATGCTTTGATTCCCTTAGTAAGTCTCTGTATGCAGTAAAGCATAATACAAATAATGTCATGGCTTTTGTTGGCTTTCTTAAAGGTCCCCTATTATACTGTTTTTCATCAATATATGATAGGTCTCAGATATATACANCTTTCTTGTGCTGACACATAGAAACAAATTGGCGGGGCGCACTTCGCACATCACACACTAAAAAATTCCACGCGCTCCGCGCTCACATTATGCTGGGCCCACGTGCCTTAGCACCGCTGCTATGACTCCATCCGAGGGGAAACACTGAGAGTATCAGGTGGGCCATGAAATGTGTACCAACATTTTCAACGACACAGTAGTTGTTACTACTCAAAGGATGGTTCACATGTTTTGTCCCATTAGGGAGCTACCTTTTATCTAGTATTCTGACACATGTGTGTTCCCACCCTGTAATTCAGATTGACTCTAAAATGTTCCAGGTTCTCCCTTGGTCAATGCTTCACCTCTCCACCAAGTTTTAAGAAAATCGGGCCTGTAGTATAAGCTGATCCTTTTGCAGAGGTAACTTGCGGCTAAAATGTCAATAAATCAAACTCAATCAGACTTGAATGATTTGTTGGGGTCTTCTGGAGGGCATTTGACTGTTTCCCCTTTTCCTCAGGACCCAACACTATTGTTTTTTATGAGCTTTGTTTCTAAAGTGAGTTATAAATCCATGTATCCATGTCTGAGCTTCTGGGTGACTTCAGTTCTGGCTCCGTCAGTCTCTTTCTCTGGAGGAGACAACATGTCTGTCTCCTCTCAGGTCCAGAGAAAAGTTTGATAAACTCGTATTATATTTATCCGGGGGGGATGTTTGCCAGGAGTGGAGGGCTGCGGTGGCTCTGGTTAGCTCCCTGGTGTGAATGTGTAAACAGAATATGGAGCTCCTCTCCACAGGAGCGGCGAGTGCAGTAAAAACAGTAGTTTGTGACGGGGATTTGAACCGGTGACCAGCTGGGGTTCTGCAGACTCTGACCTTCCCCCTGACATCCGGATCATCAGAGCTGCAGTTTCCACTGAAGTTAGAGAACATGACGCACTGCTCACAACGCGCTGCTCACGGTCTCGACGGTAATGGTCAGTGTCGAGGAATGTGTTGTTTTACCGCTTTTTCGAATAGTGTAATAAGAAGTTATTTGACTTGTCTGGGCTTTCTGCATCTGCAGTGCAAAAGGGTTTTCAAGGGATTTTTTCAGAAATGTTCAAACTCCCTGAAGGGGACACAGAGATTTTCGCCTCTGCAGACCATTTACGTGCATCAAACCTATAGACAACACTACAGGAGAGGGAAAACCAGAAAAAGCATACTAAGGCCTCTTTAATGCCGCTCGTAGAAATAAAGCTCATAACTCTAAGAAAGACAATCTCCTTGTAAAGCTTTCAAAAGTAACCCTTGAACAAAGCACTTAAACGTCACCTGGCCCTCGGTAGTAAAGTGCTGTTGCTCTGCTCGGCCTCCAGGTGTGAACAGGGTGTTGTTGACAAAGAACACGCGTCTTCAATAAAACCCTCAGCATGCTGGAGGGTTTGCCTCTGAGTCCTGTGGATGTGTTTCAGATGCGGGTCAGTCCAAGTGTCTCGTTGAGAGGAACCAGGCTCTTGAACAATCCCGGAGACCTCAGGAGTCCATTTTTATCCCAGAATGCAACGAGGACGGGACGTTTGCACAGGTCTGACTCTCTACCTCCACAGATTTAATATCCTTCATGCTTGATATTCTTTATCTTATTTTCCTTTCGCTTAGTCTCTTATGAACTACTCACATCGACTAACGGCCCACAGACACACACGAATGAAATCCAAAAGTTTTGGGTGTGATTGACCTTTCTGTCTCTGCAGGTCCAGTGCCATACTCTGACAGGTTACTGCTGGTGTGTCACCGGTGATGGAAAGCCAGTGAGTGGCTCCTCTGCCCACAACAGGACCCCGGTGTGTTCAGGTACTGGGGGAGGGGGAGAGCCCAGCAACCTGTGGATGAAATGCCAAGAGTTTTTTTTAAAGAAATCTTAAAACATTTTTCCCATATACGGTTACTGATGTTGCCAACAAAGATTGCATCTGTCCTTCTCGTAATAGAATATAATTGGGAGGGATGAAACCCTCTTTAATGGTCGCACATGCAGAGCACACAGTGACATGTGTTCTCTGCATTTACCCCATCCTAGTACCAGGAGTCTAGGAGCAGTGGGCAGCTATTGTACAGCGCCCGGGGAGCAATGGGAGTGAGGGGGGAAGGGGGACGTCCGGTTCCTTGCTCAAGGGCACCACGGAAGGGCAGGAGGTGAACTGGGAACTCTCCAAGTAGCACTCCACACATATTTTAGGTCTGGTCGGGGACTTGAACCGGCGGCCCTACGGCTCACAGTCCAAGCCCCTACTGACTGAGCCACTGCACAAAGCTGTGCTCATTAAATTACATTGTATGACTAGTACTCTAGTAGAAAGGTTGATTCCCGATTATTCTTTATAAGGGTGGAAAAGCAGCATTAGGAGCATTTTAAGTTTCCAACGGTCATTGCATTGGAGCCAAGAACGCCTTTTAGCCAAGTCACTGGGGTTTGGACAAATTAATTGATGGTCCCTTTAGGATTTGGATGTTCTTTGAACAACTGGAAACAGTTTTTCATTTGAGGACTTCCTGATGAAATAACAAGATTGATGATGGATGCAGAACATTTGGAGTAGAACTTAAACTGAGTGAATGACCAGTGATCACACATTAAATCTAAACTAAAAGGCTTTTCTATTGAAGGATAAAGAGTGAACACAGCCTTTGGGTTGCAGTTAAAGAGGGTCCTTCTTGCCCTGCTGATGGTTCATGTGTACTGCATGTCATGTGGCGTTTAGCAGGTGCAAGGTCAACCAGAAGGCTAATGGCCATACATCAAGC